ATTTCTAATAATATAAGATACCTTTAATTTGTGGTAAATGTTTATTTTAAATGCAGGCCTATCACATAAATGAAAGGATTGATTGATGAATTTAAAAACTGAAATTGAAAGGATAAAGAGATGGTCAAACTTAGAAAAGAGATGTTGGTGCAATCTTGATTGATGACTTGAAGAACTTAAATTGCATGGATAAAGAGATGGTCAAACTTAGAGAAGAGATGTCGGTGCAATCCAAACCGGAACACTGTTCGGTAATTGGGTCATATCTAGAGCTATATATCTCAGATTTAGGTCCAATTTATATGGATGGAAAGGTAAGACATAGGCCTACAACTTTCATATAGAGCCGAAGATCTAAAAAGGTCATTTTCAAGTCCAAATTGTTGGAACAACAAAGAAGCCTGAATCTGTCCTCCAGCCCGAGCACTGTTCAGTATTTTAGCCACATCTGGAGTTCTAGAAATCGAAATGAGTTGCATTAGCCCGAGCACTGTTCGGTATTTTGGCCATATCTGGAGTTCTAGAAGTCCAAATGAGCTGAATTTTTTACACAAGAAAGCTGAGACAATTGCCTACAACTTTCATGTTTGCAACTGGCTCCAATTTTGACGTTATCAATGACGTTTTGGGCAGACAAGAGAAGATAAGGATTGTCACCAAGTCAAGAGTTGGCTACCCACTCATCAATTAGTCATCAAATCAATAGTTTCCAATTTTGGCCTATAAAAGGAGGCATTTGCCATGTATTTAGGCATCTTGGTTTCCAGATCAAGATCATGCTCTTGCTTTCCTTCTTTGTATTTTTTGTAATGTTTATGCTTTGTTTTCATTAATATCAAGTTTATGTAGATCATGCTTTTCCTTTCTCTCTTTGTATTTTTTGTAATGTTTATGCTTTGCTTTCATTAATATTAAGTTTATGCCTTTCATTTCCTTTCCTTTACTTAGTTAACTTTTATGTTCTTATTTTGTTTATCTATTTTGCTTTCTTTCATTATGTCTAGCTAAGTTTATTATGTCAAGGTGAAAAGGTTACACTAATGATGTAAGAATAAGTATAGTATAAACTTAGTATGGACTTTAATGTTTGATATTAATATGTTTTATATTTGTTATGTTGTTTCTCTTCCTTTCTCTCTTTGTATTTTTTATGCTTTGTTTTCATTAATATTAAGTTTATGCCTTTCATTTCCTTTCCTTTACTTAGTTAACTTTTATGTTCTTATTTTGTTTATCTATTTTGCTTTCTTTCATTATGTCTAGCTAAGTTAGTTATGTCAAGGTGAAAAGGTTACACTAATGGTGTGAGAATAAGTATAATGTAAACTTAATATGGACTTTAATGTTTGATACTAACATGTTTTGTATTTGTTATCTTGTTCACTCTTTAATACTTTGCTTGTTAAATGACTAATCTTGATTTATGTTGTATAACACTTGGTACAACAAATGCTTAGCACTTTCATAGCTCAAGTTGTATGGTATAACCGACACCTAAGCTATGAAAGGAACTTGATTTGTTGTTAACATAAGTTATAATCATGAATGCTTGATGAAATTTACAAGTATTAGCATTAATTGAATAAAATGACTAATATAATCATGTTAACAATCTATAATCTGATTGGAACCTCCGTTGTGTGTGGTTTCTAATTAAATAATAAGAGTTTATACAATACTTGTTTGACATACCATTAGTGGATCCTCTAACCTTGACGTTGTTTGTTATCATTGTTTAATCCTTATGTTAATTTTCCATCTCAAAGTTCTCATCAACTTTTCTTCTTCTTCTTCTTCTTTTTCTTTATTATTATTATTATTATTACTACTACTAGTAGTAGTAGTAGTAGTATTATTAGTATTATTATTGCTACTATTATTAATGTTGTTGTTGTTGTTGTTTTTGTTGTTATTATTGTTGTTGTTATTTATAATTTATACAATTAACCTCCCTATGGTTCGACTTCGGTCTTACCGGGTTATTTATTATTTCGACACTCCTGCACTTGGGAGAAGACATCAATCTTTTCGTCGTGTCACCAGATCTCCATATGAAAGTTGTGAGAAATTGTCTCAGCTTTCTAGAAAAAACAATGGAGGTCATTTGAACTTCTAGAACTCTAGATATGGGTTGAACACTTCACAGTGTATGGGCTGTAAGATAGATTCCGACCTCTTCGTTGTTGCTACAATTTGGACTTGAAAACAATCTTATTAAAACCAGACCTTCATGTGAAAGTTGTAGTGCCTTTTCATCCATATAAAGTAAACCTAAATTCAAAATCTACAGCTCCAGATATGACCTAATTACCCAACAGTGTTTCAGTTTAGAATGCACTAGCATCTCTTTTCTAAGTTTGGCAATCTATCTGTCTTTTCAATTTCAATATTTCAACTCATCAATCAATCATTTTATTTATGTGATAGGCCTGCATTTAAGATGAATATTTACTATAAATTAAAGTTGTCTTATATTATTAGATATGTTATTATAAAACATGCTTTATTTAAGGAGTTATTGATATTTCAAGTGCAAAATGATGATATAAAACTTTGATAAAAATACACTTTTAAGTACTAATCATCAATCTTATTGGTTTACATCATTTAGTTACAAAAAAACTCACGAGTCTATTTGTTATACCTCAAATCTATACAGCTATACCCACAGCAAAGCATGACCAACAAAACTAATTCAAACTTTATTTCATGCAATGTTATAAATAAATAAAAAATTGGTGATAAATAAATAAATAAATATTATTGAAATCTACTATGAATGTTGTGTTCCATAATGAGAAGATAAGATATATCTCCTTTTCAAAATATCTATGAAAATTTAATATTGAACACAAGAGATTCCATACTCTAAGTCATAAGAAGTATTTAAATATACTTGAAATCAATGTTTTGAAAACCACCCTGATCATCAAATGAGAGAATGAAGAGGTTCAAGCGTTAACTAGGGATAAAATCAAGTTTAAAGCAAATTCAATAAACTTAAATTATTGAATAGGATGTAAAGAATATAACAAATAAAAAAATTGTAAGATATGTTTCATACATAGATATTATCATGTTAGAATATTTGTTGTTATTATACATGTATAACTGCTTAATAAAAAATGTTGCACAAATTATTTAATTTATAAATAAGCGCAGATTGATCACAAAATATTTAAAATTTGTTACCTTGTTCTTTTTCTAATTAATAAAATAAAAAATAGGAAACTGGTAATTATATATTTATCAATTATTAACAGTGGAGCATGTACGTAGTAAAAACAATAAAATAAAATAATTTGAGAATTTTTATGATCTCGTTAAAAAAATCTAGAGTTATTTAAGGATTCATTACCTAAAGACCTGATCTTCAACTTTGAGTAATGCTTTAAAGGTTAGGCTATCAAAAATAATAGTTGTCAAATTTTCTAGCCTCCGATAGTAATCCATATAAAACAACCAGTGTGAAATCATATGTAGTGTGCTAGCTTTATATTCTGTGACTTAAGTAGTTTTTTTATCTAATAGACAACCATACGAAAATAAAAAGCATAGCGTACTATTTATAGAGAAATCTAAAAAATCATATAAATTGGTAAAATATCAATTTTACCCTTGAGAAATATCCATCTATTAATTCAGGAAAATTATAAAAATTAACTCAATAAAATCCTTACTTTTTCTAGGTCTAAAATATAATCATTGTATTAATTATATTTTAATTCTTAATTTATAAAATATATTTTAATCAAGTCATACTTAATTAAACTATCATAAATTAATTTATGACTAATGATTATTAATGTGTATGACCAATTAGGTTCATAATATGTTGGTCTAAATAGAAATTTTAATTTTAATTAAGAAAAATAATAATTTAATTTATTATCAATTCAACAATTAATTAATTTATATTTGAAGATCAGTTGTATCATCTAGCAACGTGTCATGATCCCTAAATATTAGACAAGTCATTAGTGGTTTGACTTAATCTTTCAGTAATCAGTATCTCAATGTAATTAATATATTTTCATCAATAATATTTTGATTTAACATTAAAGCATAGATTAACATGTTAAATCATGTGTGTTCACTATATAATAGTCATTGATTATTTAAATAAAATTTAAAACTCTTTTCAAATCTTATTGCATATTGGTCAATAATATTCTTAGTTAATACTACTTGAAAATAGATAAAATATTTTTTCTAATTGACCTAGATTAATTAATCATTTATTAATCACTTGAAAGCCTTTACATACTTCAAACAAAAATGTTAACATTTCAATTATGTCATATAGCCGGTCCTTCATTCCATTAATGCTTGATATCTTTATAGGAATTAAAGTGGTTAATTCCATTAATGTCGGAGTGTATAAGAAATTTTAGACAAAAAAAAAAATTAAAAAAAAAAAACCGCGTCACTTGTTTAAAGAGGAAGGAGGATAAATTTCATGCTATGGGAGCAAAAAGTTGTGAGGAAACATCTTGTTGGAGCAAAAAAACAAAATTGATATTTTGGTCTATAAGGATCATAATAAATAAAAAATCAAAATAAAGGGAGGTGGATTTATTATATCCGCGAAGGGTGGGTGAGAAACATTTTATCCATGAAAGGCCAGCTAGCTCTTGCTCGCATCTGCCTGGGTTTGTTTGCGCATGAAAAAACTACATCGCCGGCTGTTCAAGAGAGAAGGAGGATGGAGTTGTTTTCCGATGCCCCTCCGGTTTGTTTCGTCCTGATCCAGACGTCCATGGACAGACCAAGATAACCTTCTCTCAGCACTTGTTTAATTTAATAACAATTAAAATAACATGACATTATTTTAAATTTATGTGCTCAAAACCCACAAGGTTCTGTTGAGATTTGTTCCCTGAGAATGAAGCATTCAACCAAATAAAATGAAGAAAAAGTTCCTTTCAAAATCATATTCACGTACTAAAATAAATATGAAAAGAACAAAAACATAGTACAACCATGCACGTCTAGAATTCCAAAGCGATGCCTTAATTAATGAATTGAGAATGACCTATGAAAGTAATTTTCACTGGCTTAATTATAGAGTTGAAATATATCCCCCCACAAAAGAGACAAGAAATTCACTTATTCTAAGTACTAATTTAACTAGCACACTCAAGGTTTTTTATCGCTTGCCTGATCCCATTTTTCTTCCAATATGGAAGGGAAAATAAACTCCATGCTATTGGTGCTACTGCTGCCGGAATTAAACATGGCATCAGCCATATCTATTATAGGGTAGTCAGCTTCTTTACTGTATCGACCAGCGGTGGAGGGACCTTCACCACCACTACCAGCACCTGCAGCCATGCTGCTACTGCTGCAACCAGCGCTACCTCCAGAACCCAGACTAAATTCCAGCCATCTAGCTAGAGAAGTTGCTGCAGATGGCTGAGGCGGAGCACTCATATTTTGGGCCATCTCTTGTGCAATATCTGTTGCTGGTGGTGGAACTGATGGTGCCGTCGCAGACATGTGGCAAGTGTGCTCGCCACGGTACGCCACCTCGAATGTGTAGGGATCGTCATCAAGTCGCTGAACTTGTTTCTTGGCTAGGCAATGGTACAGCTTTTGGTGGGTGCACCTGTAGTAAGCCCTGAAAGGGACAGATCGAGTATATAGTTAAAATAAACAACAAATGTTAATGGCACAGGTAATTAATTAGTCCTAATAAATATGATTTTAATGAACTTGGTCGATTTGATTTTTCTAACATTCATTCTTTCAAGTCTGTTAATGTAAAACGATGATCTTCTTTGGGCGTATACTAAACTCGTTTTTGCCAATTAGCAGTCAATGGCTCAATCTTTAGATGGTTGTATACCAAGTCAATGTCTGAAAGAAAGGTTAAAAAAGAGCTAGCATGAAAAAAACGCAATTTCAATATATTATAAAAAGACTTCTCCATGTCTAAGAAGAGCATTCATATACATATTGTGCTTTGATTGTGTCATATAACACGTGTTATCTAGAAGAGTTAACAGTATTCTCTCTCAGACGTGCATATTTTGATTCATTAATTACCTCGGGAACCTTGAACCAAGTATCTCTTTCTGTCCATATTTCCTCCAAGTGAAGCCATCTTCTGGTGGGATCTCAGTATTGCCAAACTGCTGAGCAGGTACCCTCACTGTCCGTCTTTCGGCATCATCCTTCCTGCATATTTACAACCATAATATGTAGTAGCTAGGTAGCCATTAGCCTAACAAAACGAATCCGAATTTTTTGAGAAGTGGTCTGACAATTCCTAAGCAGGATTAATACACATGCCATATATATAATTGAAGGAAAGGTATGCATGAATATAATTAAAGTTTTGAATGTTCAGACATGTTCACAGAAAAAATATGTATAGCACGAACAATATGCTACCGACCCTCTTGACAAGAAAAAAGGGTTAAATGGAATTGCTTTGATGATATACTTTCCTTACAATTTCATTCGTATGTGAGTCGTAAAGCATGTCTAAGAGCAATTCACATTGAACTATTGTAGGTTTACAAAGATGACTCTGAAGTAAAACACAAGTCATCCACAATATGCAGACGAAGATGTTACAGCTACTAAGTTATGATATTATGCAAACGAAACACAAGCATTGAAATTTCTTACCTTCTTCGCGGTCTTTGACACGATGATGAAGAACCTCTGCCAGGATCTGATGCATCTATTGCTTGAACGTGATCTGATCTACTACCTAATTCAATAATAAAGTCTCCTGACCCCATTTGCGTCTTCTCAGCACCAAGGACCTGTGATTGATGAAACAACGTCTCCATAGCTGATGGGCAACTAGTCCTTAGCCATTCCTGGAGGCTAGGATCAATATTCTGTTGTTGCTGTAATTCCTGTGGCTCACGAAACAACATGTGATGAGTATATGAAGCGGTGTCTTGTTGATGAACATTTAGCCTTTCCCTAGCATTAATAAAAACCCTAATGATATCTTCACATGACTTGGAAAATATCTCTGGCTGGCTGGCTAAGTTTTCTAGGTTTAATTCAAGATCTTTAGCTAACTTGCACCCATGAAGAATTAAGGAAATGGTCTCGTCCATATTGGTTTCTTGTTGTTTACGAGGTTTTTTGAACATTAGAAGAAATTTGAATGGGGTTGATAATTAATGGAGCTTTGAGGGAGGAGTGCTTTCTATGTTGGTGCTTGGTGCTTCATCTTAGAGAAAAAGTGGGTAAATTATTCAAAGTATTTATGTATCTTTTACACGGTATCAAAAGTAGATTAGGACTTGGAAAGTATGACCAAGTCACGGTCTCCTTGGCATGCACTTCAAACCTTTTGGTGAGAGTCTAGGCGAAGACCGTGCCCCTGTTGAAACCCACTTTGTTTTGGACCTTGAACAGCTTAATTTCCTAGTTTTGAAGTTGATTGCGACCGTGACGAGAGCTAGAAAATGCCCCCCCTCTCTGTGTCTTCAATTGAGGGCATTAAATATTAAGGTCCTCGCTGAGCAATACCAAGACAGGAAAATGTCTCGCTAGCAAATCTTAGGAAATAAAATGAATATTATTTTATATATATATAGAGAGAGAGAGACACACACACACAATTATGCAAATTAAACCCAATTAATAGTTTCAGTAAATAACCTTCGATGTAGCACTTTGAAAAACAATTAAGTAGATCGATCCATGAAGTTCAAATCATTGCTATAAATTAATTAATGTAACACTCATCGGTCTGTCGACAGTGCCTTAATTATTTCAGAAGCGAATTTCATCTTTATTTATTTATTCTTCCTTGAAATTAGAAAGCATGCTATCTTATAATAAGTACTGGAAGGTCAGAAAATAGTCTTCTGAGGCTCGCTCTTTGGCCGTGATAAATCAACAGTAATCGAGTTGAGGTGCGCAATGGCGAACACGTTTGGCATATGATTTTCCTCAGGCAACTCGCCACTGGCTAGAAATACTCCAAACCTGTGCGCGCAGCACACCACATGGTCGATTTCTCGAAGATGGACTTTTCGTTTAAATGCCCTGCGTCGTGGGTCATGACCGTTAATCGGTTTGGTCCTAAACTCCTAGAAGGACATTCTTGCATGCATAGAGCCAAGCAAGGGTCAAAACCTCCATGGGTCCCTTGCCATTTCTGCGATCAGCTGGGCGGTGCGCTGGGTTTTCATTAATCAGGGGGTAATTAACTTCCTTCGTACACCAGGTTTTCAATCTTCCACCTCCAGCTTCTCCGTAATCATTGCCTCGTTCAAGGAAGACTTCATGACTTTGTTCCCCTCCAAACTTTCTGGAACAGTGACCATAAGACCTAACACTACAAAAAATTTCTCTGTTTTGCCTGCTATCAAGTACCAACAAGTATTTAAAAGTACTTTCTATATACAAAAGCGCAACTATTATGGCTATCTAGTTTTTTATTTTTACAATTATCGCGGGTGTGCAGCGCCGCTGAAATCTTCATCTTGGATGATGAATCGGGTTTTGATGTGAAAAATAGAAGGAATTTTTATGGTTTAAAGGCTTGGAGTGCATCTAATATTTTAATTATTAAAATCTCTAATTAGTCTACAAAATCAAGATAAGATAGAAATGATCAAAAAAAATTAAAAAACTAAGAAAATCAGAAAAAAAAAATTAAAAAACAAAACAATAAAAAACCGATTAAACCAGTAAGAGTTTTGAAAAAACTGACAAGTTGGGTTCAGTTTTATAAACCTAAAATTTAAAAAAACAAATTGAACTAAACCTAAACCAAAAAATAAAACATAAAAAACAAGCCAAATCAGTTTTTGACGTGAAAAAAATAAAGAGTTCATCCTTTTATGATTTAAAAGTTTAAAATTATCAATTAGGATTTTAATCATAAAAAACTTTAATTGATCTATAAAATCAAGATAAGAGAACCGATTATATATAGGAAAGATAATATCAGTCATAATATTTTTTATTTAAGATAAACCATGATTTTATGAGTCAAACTTAACCATTCTAAAATTAAATAATATATTCATTATATTTTTGTTTTACTAGGAATATATCTATGTTTTAAAATATTAAAAAATAAAAAATATAATTTTTTTAATATTTTAAAATTTTAAATTAAGTTTTCTATAAACTTATTATTAAATCCATTAGACATGTAAAATAGAAAAACCTGTTATCAAATCATGGAATATATTTTTAGTTTTCTTCTCTTTCTCATTCATATTTTTTATTGAAAATACGAAGATGATTTATTTATTTATTTTGGAGAAATTTAGCATTATTACAAGCTAAAACCAATGGTTAAAGATGTTTTTCATCACTTTTTTTATCCATTTATCCAAGACATTCTAACAAAATAAAAATAAAAATAATTATGCTTAAGTCACGCAAATAGCCCTTTCACTAATTAAATCACAAACCCTACAATCACTCACACTTACACCCGCAATCTCAACAATTTATCCAAATATCAACATCGACGAGACATCACAACAATTTCCACAAGATCATTTCAGTCAGATTGCAGTGCAAGAGTTTTCTGACTTCTGCGCCGGCATTTGCATTGATAAGACACAACACGAATCTAGACGGCTTGAGACCTCCGACCACTGAACGTCCCCAGCACATCTTTTTGATCCATCTCAATATCCAAGAATCCACCGTGAGAGTGGAACCTCTTGTTTCTCTCACCAGTTAAATCATGAGTTGAAGATTTTGCTATGGTAACAGATGCCATTAAAGACAATAAATTCGCTTCGATCCACGAGCACAAAAACACTTACTCCAATCATGTGCATTACATCTTAAGCATGTCTACATGCTCCGTGAATTTGCCATTTCAAAATACAAGCTGCTGCAGAAACTAATTTACCCAACATACATCGCAAAGCGTTCGAGCAGGCAACAGTCATCCTGAAGTAGAAACAAAACAGATAGAGGAATATGATGTACAAATGAATGATATTACAAATCAATTATGTTGGCAGGCAGTACAAGATACAACTCCTGGCGACTAGGATCCATTCTATCTTAATGCGAAAACCAGTCACCATAACAAAAATTTACAGAACTTGATTTTTCATCCTCGTTCTCTGTCCCTGAATTACATCCCAGACGAGGATGTCCGGTTTATCCTTTGCGCGCCCAATTTTGGAGCAGCAGGTTTACCTCGGCCTCTACCAGCCACCAGTGGTTTGGCCCTCGTAGTAGGTGGGGGAGCAGCAATCGCAGCCCAGGGATCATCATCATCATCAAGTGCTGTAGCTGATTTGACATTCAAAGGCTTTTTATTGGTTTTTGGAGCAGGGGCAGCTATAGAACCCCATAAATCATCATCTTCATCTTTTGTCGCCCTCCCAGTACTTTTTGGTCGCACACTTGCAGCTGAAGAAAGGGTAAAAGTGCTAATTAAAGAGACTTGATAAACGTACCATCAGGAGAACAGGTGGCAAGGAGATGCAACGTAATTGAACTATAGTTATGTGTATGATGATATCACCTTGTGCTTTTTGCTGTGAAACTGGCTGTGAGACAGGCCGCTTCTGAGCTGCTTGAATGCTTGCAAGAGCTGGAGAAGGCTTTGGCTCTTCAAGAGGTTCAATATCATCCCACCCATCTTTGTCACTACCCTGCTCTTCATGAATTCCATCTTCAATTTCTCCCCAGCCATCTGTTGAAGTTGGGGACTCCGGTACAGGTTGATCAGCCAAGTCTCCGCTGGAATTTACCCGGGCTGGTGCTATACTCGGAGAGTCCATCACTATGATCACCATACAAAACAGTGATCAGATATTGAATTGATAGATAAATGCATCATAATAAAAGCAGGCATAAGCAATGCTGCAGCAAGCATTGCTGAATCAACAGTGCATTTCACCATCTAATATCAATGTGCAGTTCACACAGCATGATTGGCATGCCCTCAGAAAACACATTGGCCATTAAGATACTTGACTAGTGGTCAAATAGACACTCTCCTCCATTTAAACCCATAAAAAATGCAAAACAAACAATCAAGATGTATACCTGAGCTGGCATTGGAGGTTGTGGAAGATAGAGGAACGCCAGAATTTGCAGGAGCAAGTGGAGCTTGTTCTGAAGGTTTACCTTTGCTAGTCAAGGAGCTCATGGCCCATCTGAATGATAAAAAATGGTTTCAGATTAAGTACAAAATTCATGGAGTAAGACTGTAGCCAGGAGATATGCATGTTAAAAACAAAAACTTGACAAAAACATCATTAATGGAGCGAAGCATTACTTTATGCATAGTTTTAACTGCCTTAAGTTAGACACTGCAAACAGAAATGCATTGATAAGGTGTCATGCAATCATTGAGATTGGTGTGATGTAACTTGTAAGCATTTGAATACACAATTTTGATTTATTAATGTGCACCGCTACGACTAAGACTAAAAAAAAATAGATCATTCAACCAAGTCGTGCTTAACAAATGCTGTCAAAAGAATCTGATTGATGTGCAATATATTAAAAATATAGGATAAGAGAGTACAAATAAACTCTAATGTCAACCTCTAGCAGAAAAGGAACACAACAAAAATGGGGGAGAAGAGGTTGAAAGGGGAAAAAAAAACATACACATTCAGAATGCATAACATTAAGATTTGCTCCTAGCAATGATAGTACATGAAAAAAAACCCACAACCCTACTCAATTTACCAGTTACATCAGGTGATTAAATCCCAGCTATTAAAGGACCAGTGCCAATTAAGAGCATTTCAAAGTGTTCCAACATGACGAGTTCCAAAACCACTTACCCAAGTAAACTAGCATTTCCTGGTATTGATGAGATTCCTGTGCTTGCAGCTCCAGCTGTGTCTCCAACATTTGTCTACAAATGACCAAAGAGGGAAAAAATCAATATAACCCAATGCTTTGAAATTAAAATCAACAGCATCTTGCTGGAAGTGAACCAGATCATGGACACCTCTAAATTATGACCAGCCATGTCATGGAGATAGAGTAAAAGAGAATAGCAGAATGAAGGACATCAACAACAGACATTACTAAAGACTTTGGACTTCTTTAACCAATATAATTAAGAAGCAATTTCCAAGGAATTGGCATGACAAGATTGACATACAAACAGATGTTAAGTTATCACTGTAGCGAGCAGAAACTATGACATGGCAACCAGAAAGCTTTTCACATTTG